GCAAGTTCTTTGGTTCGAGTTCTCAGCTTATATTTTCAACAACCTTCTTCATCGTTCGTTGATTTCTGCAAAGCTCTTTTGATATCTCCAATGAGGACATTCCCTCACTCAATAACTTTGTTATTTTCTGTTGTTCAGCAGTTGATAGATCCTTCCCTTTGCCCATGTTTCAACATATAATATGGACAAAAAGAAAAAATAGATATTTATTACACTTCAGAGGTCTTAAGCTAATATTAGTTTAATCTGCATATTAACTTCAGACAGTCCATTACAGAACTTTTTGAGTTATTGAGGTTTATTTGATTTGCGTAATAACTTCAGACCGGCTGTATATTGTTCTGCTAATATGATTGCGTCAAATTAATTTTTATCTCTCTCTGTTGCAACACACACACACACACACACACACACACACACACACACACACATATATATATATATATATATGACTGCCATAAAAAGACAAAAAATATTTTTATTACCACTCATGATGGTAATAGATAAAAGGTAAAACTGAAAAACGGGCAAGCTAACCGATTTCGAACTTCGCTCAAAAGAGCTCAATCGAGGTTTATAGATTAAACAGAATTATCACAAAAAAGGATGGACAATATGTATTGAAAAAATGTATTTGAAAAAAAATATATATGTTTAGCGAGGTTCGAAACCGGTTACCGATTTTTAGTTTTTAGTCTACCCCAGTGAGCGAAATAAAGGGTTCAGTTCGACATTCTAACCACCTGAAGAAGGCCGGAGTGTACAACGGCCGAAACGTTGTAATGAATATGGCGACAAAGATGAGGACAATAGTCCGAATAATGTAAATAATGTACTGAATCTATACCTTATCAAAATATCGAGCCTATTATCAAAAACAGAGCCTATATGATATGATCAACTAATCAGCCTAAATAATATCACCAAATACAGAGCTAATATAATAAAATAACCGAGTCTATATAATATCAAATACTGAGTCTAAATGGTATCATCAACTACTGAGCCAATATAGTATCAACACCCTAACCTATATGATATCATCAACAACCGAGCCTGTATGATATCCTAATTACCAAGCCTATATAATGTCATCAACTACAAAGTCTATATGATATCATCAACTAACGAACCTATATGATATCATTAACTACGGAGCCGAAATGATATCACCAATTACTGAACCTATATGAAATCATCAACTAGTAAAACTATTTGATATCACCAATTACCGAGACTATATGATATCATCAACAACCGAGCCTATATGATATCACCAATTACTGTGCCTATGTGATATCATCAACGACTGAGTCTATATGATAGCAGCAATTACCGAGCTTATATGATATCATTAACTACCGAGCCGATATGATATCACCAATTACTGAGCCTATATGATATCATCAACTAGTGAAACTATATGATATCACCAATTACCGAGCCTATATAGTCATCACCTACCGAGACTATATAATATCAAATCTCGAGTATGTATGATAACATCAACTATCGAGTCTAAATGATATCATCATCGAACAAGCCTATATGATAGCAGCAATTACCGAGCCTATATGATATCATTAACTATCAATCTTATATGATATCACCAATTACAGAGCCTATATGATAACATCAACTATCGAGCCTATATTATATCACCAATTACTGTGCCTATGTGATATCATCAATTAGTGAAACTATATATCACAAATTACCGAGCCTATATGATATCACAATTACCGAGCCTATATGATATCATCAGATACCGAGCCTATATGATATCACCAATTACAGAGCCTATATGATAACATCAACTACCGTGCTTATATTATCAACTTCCGAGCCTCTATGATATCATCAATAACTGTGACTATATGATCTATACCGAATCTATATAACAAGTAGCCTACAACTGTGCCTATATATCATCATCAAATATCTAATTTATATGGTATCATTCACTACCGGGCCTATATACTATTATCAACTACTGAACATCTTTATCATCATCGAATACAGAGTCTATATAATATCATTTACTATCGAGCTTATACACTATCACCAATTATCAAGCTTACATTATACAATCGAACTTATAATATATTCAATTATCTAGCTTACATATTATCGCCAACTATCGAACTTATATAACGTATTATCGAGACTATTTAAAAATGTCAACTACTGCACATATAGAACACCACTAATTATCGATCATCCATACCCAGCTTATATAATATCATCGGTTATTGAGCATATATGAAATCTTCATGGCTACCACTAGGGATTAAGTGAATGCAAGTTTACTGAATACTGCAGCATTCTCCACAGTAATCTAGTCTTTTGTAGCAATTATTTCCAGTTTTCAAAGAATTTATGAAGGCGTTTTTTTTTACATCGATCAGTCTCCTTATATCAGCTGACACGACTTCAATTGCCATATTACACAACTTCATCAACCACCTGTATAAGTCTAGATATTTTTGTTTATTTTTCCGCTTTAAGATATATTCTATAGTCTACTAGGACAAAGAAATTCATTAGTTGGTATGTTTACTTGTTTACGACTCCCTGATTATTATTATTATTATTATTATTAATAGTAGTAGTAGTATTTATAAATTATTATTTAATTCTGATTAATTTTTCAAATATAATCTCTGTTTCGCGTTCTTTACATTTCAGCATGAGTACACCTGCTTGACTCATTCTCGGGTGTCATCACTTCTACGCTGGAAATAAGTTAAGTATTTCTCCGATAAGAAACTCAAGGCGCTGAAGTGTGAAAAAAAAAAAATAGAAAAAAAAAATGGGAGTTGACACGGCCATTGTTGAAGGAAACACGTTGCGGAAAGGATGTCGGGTAAAAAATATTACGAAGAAGAATGTGTCAGACGTAGGTTTTTTTTTTCCATTTTTGATTGCGTATGTGTTACTAGGCGATTTTATATGCGTTAGAAAATGTTAAATTTTATAAGAATACGAATTTATTTATTTAAAAAATAATAATCATATATATATGTATATATATGTACACACACACACACACACACATATATATATATATATGCGTGTGTGTGTCTCTATATATATATACTTATTTTTATAACATTTTTATTATAAGATATTATAATAAAAAATATTTTGAAATCGCTACACAAAAGAATTCATGTTTCAATATTATGATTGTACTTCTTCAGGAGATGGTTGGTAACCAGTAACCAGTTTTTATTATAATCTCTTTTAGTAAAATTATTATAACAATATTTTGGTCTACTTTGTACTGAGAACTTTTTTAAAAGAGTAAATGCTTCGAACTGTGGATTTTTACTCCATTTGTTCTTTGACGTATATATATATATATATATATATATATATATATATATATTAATTCAATTTTATTGTATCTTAATTTCCAATTGTAAAGAAAGTAGAAAATATATATATATATATATATTAATTCCAATTTTATTGTATCTTAATTCCAATTGTAAAGTAAGTATATATATATATATATATATATATATATATATATATATATATATATGTGTGTGTGTGTGTGTGTGTGTGTGTGTGTGTGTGTGTGTGTGTGAAAATATATAGAAAATAGGAAAGATCGCGTTAGGTAAATAATCCAAAGTTCTTTAGTATTTTTGTTATTATTTTTAAAAAATAGTGCTCGACACAAAAGTAGAGCCTAAATATAATTATTTATTTAAAAATATGATTCCAACGCTACATTAGAGTTCTCATGTTTCAAAACAAGAAAAAATTCGCTTGAAGATGGAACAGAGCTTGGTACTTTTAATTCAATTTAATTGAAATAATTATATTGAAGTTATTTCTCTAATAGGCTTTGATGACTTTAACACGTTGTTTGATTGTTAAACT